AGAGAGAGAGAATATGGATTTGTTTTGTCCATTTGGCAGTAGGTAGTAGTTGCTGGAGATGCCTCCAGGTCTGGGCTTCTCTGAGTCTCGCTTATAAGGCGGTGGGAGCAGCAGCATCTACCTGGGAGGAGTGCATGAGGATGCGGTGAAATTAGACTCTAATGAGCCTTCCTATTCCAAACCTGGTTCAGAGACTAGTCATCGAAAAGCAGCTCAGCACCCCACCTTGAGAGACCCAGAATCTACCCCTTTCCCCTGGGGGATGGGAAAAAAATGGTGGCCTGGGTAGGGATAGGGATACTCATCCCTTCTTTCTGGCTTTCTCTCTCACTTTTTTTTCTAATCCTGAGTAACCTTCTTGTGTTAGGGCAGAGGAGCCACTTAAACCTGTGATGTCCCTTATAAGGATTCAGATAAAATGGGGAAGCCAGAGCGGAGGCATAAGCCTAAAATCCCAGCAGCTTGGGAGGCTGAAGTAGGAGGATCACAAGTTCAAAGCCAGCCTCAGCAACTTAGTGAAGCTGTACTAAATCTAGTGAGACCCTGTCTCAAGATTTTTTTTAAAAAAGGAGCTGGGGTGTGGTTCAGTGTTAAGTGCCCTTGGGTTCAATCCCTGGTACCATCCCCCTCCCCCCCAAAAAAAAAAAGATATAATGGGGAAAACTGGAAGGTAGCAGAGTCTGAAAGCATTTTGGAAAGGGCTTAGTGTCCCAGAATTGGCTCTGAGCCTAACAGCGGTTGGACCGTGGAAGTGGCAGGCGAAGCCAAGGGCCCAATCTGCCTAATGGAAGAGTGGTTAGCCACTTCCTGAGAAGGGCTTCCCAGCGTTGTGACATTTTGTTCCCTCTCCCCTTCCCTCAAGTGTGAAATCCATCTCTAGATGATAGTGCCTATTTATAAAAGCCATCTCTGAAAACAAAATTAGTTAATTGTATATGACTCACATTACTCAGAAGGTCGTTCAATATAATGTTAAATGTTATTGCAAAAAAAAAAAAAACAGGGGAAAAGATTTTTCTTACCTTCATATCAGGACATGCTGCAAGGAGCAAGATCTGGAATGACAAGGGTTCAGGGATGGGCATTAGGGGGCTCCCATTTTTCTCTTGAAGGGCACAGTGGGAAAGATGCGGGCATCTGCTACTGAGGTGCAGCTGGTACCAGCATCATGTATGTGTTCACTGGGGTCACCTTTCTGTGCACCCTATGAAGTAAAATGCCTTTAGATGAAGACTGTGGGGCCATAAAGAGGTCGAGTACCTCACCTGAAAGAGCCCTGCTGATACAGTATTTGAACCCAGGCAGTTTGATTCCCAGCCTTGCTCTGAGCTAGCTGTGGAAGGAAAGCCACACAGTGAGAGCTCCGAAGAACTCATGCTCTGTCTTGGGTCCCAGGGAGCTGCCAGGCTTTGCTGAGCTCTCTGGCAGGATGGCAATGCAAAAGGATGCCAGCTGGCCCTGGAACTGACTCTGACCCTGGAACTGACTCTGACCCTAGCTGTGGCCTGACTACAATTCTTGCAGGGATGGAGGCGATGGCAGCCAGCACTTCCCTGCCTGACCCTGGTGACTTTGACCGGAACGTGCCCCGGATCTGTGGGGTGTGTGGAGACCGAGCCACAGGCTTTCACTTCAATGCTATGACCTGTGAAGGCTGCAAAGGCTTCTTCAGGTGAGTCTCTTACCAGGTTCCCCTGTGGGCAAGAGAAGATGAGCAAGATTTTCCCTTGAAGAGGACCCCTGCATTTTCCAATTCTCCTTCCTCATTGTGTCCATGGAACATGCCAGCCCTCACAGTCACTGGTAGCAATAGGGCTTTGGTAAGAGGTTTCTTCTTCCTACCTCCTCTCAGCTCCGGCTGTGGTCTCTATCCCCCTAAGAAGTTGCTTTCCTAAGATGGTTGTGTTTCTGTTCTCTAGCCCTTGAACCAGACACCTGCACTGACTCATGTGGGTCTGTCCTTCTTCTCCTTGGTTGATGGATTGAAGCTTCCAAATCCAAAAGTCAGACAATGACTTTGAGGAAGCCCCAGAGCTTGGCTTCAGAGCTTACCTTCCCATCCAATCCAAACTGTTCCTTGGAACAAGGGAGAATGCACCCCTGGCTGGGCCACTGTGTCTGATTTGCACCCAGCTCCTTATCCATGGCTGGCTTGTCCCAGGTTGAGTGTCTAGGCAGTGCCAGGAATGTACCAGCATTCCCAATTGGGTTGATCAGGGCTGGTGTCTCTTCTAGCAGCCTCTGCTCTTCTCGGCATTACAAATGCAGACAATCTGGGGAAAGTGCTAGGAAGACTGAAGGATGCTTCTATCTAAAGGCACAGAGGGAAGATGGGAAAGTGATGGATTGTTTGGTGGAAGTGAGAACTATAAAAAATTAGCATTTGGCAAATATTAGAAAACAACAGCCAGGAAAAATCACCTTGACTGGAGGTGGGTAAAGAGGAGAACGGGGCTCTAACCACCAAGAGAGGCAAGAGCAAATCGATTCTGGAAAAAGGACAGGATTCTGAGGCCTACCTGGCCCCTGCCTGAACTGACAAACTCACCTGACCTTGGGGGCAGAGTAAATCCAAGTGCAGGGCCCTTGTGTGGGACTCTCCTCCAGCTCCCCACTCACCTACCCTCTGCCCAGGAACTAGCAGGCCCAGGGTTTCATGGCCCTGAGCAGTCGCTGGGCAGCAGGGTTTCTGTGGGTGCTAATTGCCTGTTTGGCCTGGCACAGGTTGCCAGCTTGCCTTCCTGGCAGGCTGTTCCCCAACTCGGGGAACCAGACCAGCAGCATCACTGTCTCTGGGTCCTGTTGCCACATCTGTCAGTCCTTAGGGCTGAAGCCTACACTTCCCCTAGGGTGGGCCTTCCAGAGCTTGGGCCCTTTATACTAGGTACTACTTAGACCCCTTCCTGCCAGGGGCTGTGAATGGGGGGGGACTGCCTTGGAAGAGATAACCGAGGAGTCTAGGTCCACACTTGAGAGCCACTTCCTGGCATGCAGTCAGTCAGGAAATCATGGGCTGCAGGGCTGGCTGGTGCCATTCATTGTATGTCCTTGCTCAGATAACTTGACTTCCCTGTGTTTCAGTTAACTGATTATATATGAGTATTAATATCTGACCCCTCAATGATACAAATTTAATCTGGAAATTAATGAGATGACCTATATAAAAGTGCTTTGAAAAATATGAATCTCAATATAAGGATATGATTTTTGAGCCTGATGAGCCAATACCGATGCCCTTAAGCATCCACTAATGTCTCCATGGCCATTCATTCTCTGGCCATGCTCCTTGTGTTTTGTTTTGTTTTCACTCACTTCTTCACCAGATTTGAAAGGACTTTGGGTAGGAGCTGCCAAAATGGAGATTCTCACCAAATAGCATATGTCACCAATCTGTAAAGAAAATGTCCCCAACAGCTATTTGGGCTGCTTGGTTAATTTATGAAGCTTCTACCCCCAAATCACCTGATTCTTTCCATCTCTGTCTTCCCCTGGGATCCAGCTCTCAAAATGGAGCCCATAGGTGATCACTTGTTGGATTATGACATATTGGAGGTCTGTTCCTCACTAGGGTAGCTCTAACTCCTGTATACCTGTGGTTGCTGCCCTGAGATAGAACACTGGATGCAGGAGCCTCAGAATAGGACTGTTTGACACCTCCAAATGGTGAGAGGATTGGTCCTGACATGCCCAAGGCCAAGTGTGGGAGATGGCAGAATGGACAGGGGTGGTACATTTGCACATGCATCACATGCATGTCACTATAAATCAATAATACAATTGTTTTGTTTGAGAGCACATGATGCTACCATAACCCCCTCAGCCCTTCTAGACTGGACCCCTTAGGGTCTGCTGCTAGCTGATTACTACCACCACTGCTTTCAGGGGCTGCCATTGTGGGGAGCAAATTGCTTTTGTCTTGTTACTCTTCTACTTACCTTCTAGCTTTACTCTCCCTGTCTTGGTGACTGAGCCAGGCTGCGCTTTTTAAAGAGGCAACAACATCTCTTGCTGGGCACGGTGGCTCACGCCTGTAATCCAGCAACTTGGGAGACTGAGGTAGAAGGATAATAAGTTTAAGGCCAGCCTCAGCAACTTAGACCCTGTCTCAAAAAATACAAAGAAGGGGGCTGGAGATGTAGCTCAGTGGTAGAGCACCCCGGGACTTAATTCCCAGTAACACAAAAATAAATAAATAGCCAACATCTTTGAGTTTGTCTTGAATATTGTTTGATCTACAAATAAAAGTAAATAAATAAGCACACAAACACACAGATATACATATAGTTGATCTTCCTTATTTGTAGGTTTGTGCTTGAAAATTTGCCCACTTGCTAACAAGTTATCATAATCAGTACTTGAAGTACTTTTATGGCACTTATGGACTTGTGCAGAAATGAGTCACCTGATGCTATTTCAGTTCTCATACTATAAACAAGTGGGGTTTTGTTTGTTTGTTTGTTGTTTTAGCAATTCACTTAGTGCTATATCTTTTTGAATTTTTTTTTTTTTTTTTTTTTTTTTTTTGGTGATTTCAGGACTTTAAATGGTTCCCACACACAGCGCTGAAGTGCTGCTAAGTATTTTTAAGCACAAGAAAACCATGAAGTGTCCTAAGGAAAGATCACGTATGTTAGACAAGCTTCCTTCAGACATGAGCTGTTGAATGTTGGCTCAGTATTAATAAATCAACTGTATATTAAGTAAGGCACCTTTAGACAGGAAAGTACATATAAATCAAGGTTCTTCAGTTGATGAAAATGTGACCAGCACCTAACCTAGTATTTCCCCCAGTATTCACTAACCCAGTGTTCACAGTGACTTTATAGATCATGATGACTGTGAATAACAAGAACTGATTTTATTTCCATCATGTCCCCTCTTCCCCACCCCCTTTGCTTCTCCTCCTTTGCTTTATTCAAACTTTATTTGGAAGTTTTTCACGTTAACCAGTTCAAATAGTTGCTTAAGAATCTTGTTGTCACTTTTGTCTGTTTATGCAGTTTGGGTCCCAGGAAGTAGCTGATACCTTCTCTGTGTCAGGCACCCCCTCCTCAGGGACTCAAAGATGAGTGACACTAAGTCCTTGTTCTTAAGGAGACTCAACCCTTATCATGGAAACTCTTGGGAAACATTGCTTTAATGGTGGGTCACTGGTTGTTTTCCAAGCTCTGGAGACTGGCCATCATATTTGATCATTTTAGTGTTTGGTTTAGCTTCTAAGATACTCAAGCTAAATTGCTCTAGGAGCTAGTTAAGTTCATCCCAAGATAAGTCCAAGTCTCAACTTAATCAAACCAAAGGGCAATTATGAAGATTAGAAGATTGGACCATTGTTCTATTGATTTGTGGTCAGGAATTAGAGGTCATTGCTGGTCAATTCCTCCTGTAAGCTATTTCCTGTTGCATCTGCTTCCTACTCTTCTGGAGAACGTGGACTTTGTCAGAGAAAGATAATATTTCCAACATGAATAAAAGGTCTGTCCAGGTACGCTTGTAGATGGTTGAGAACTTCTTAGCTATGCGTTAACCAGAGCAGATAGCAAGAGGAAGGACAAAAATATGTAGATCTATTACAAATTATATATAGTGGATAATCCATATATATGGATGTAAATGAATCAAGATTGATGGTGAAGTCTAAGAGGTGATCTTGGGAGGTAGGTTGAGAAACAATTCATTGTTTGCTTCTCTATCTTGTCTTCTTCCTCCCTGTTGTTACCTCCTTAATTAAGACACTGTGACGCTGTTTTCTGCAAACTCTAAGATAACAGACAGGGTGGAGAAATGTGTTCTTGTTTGCTAGCTCAAAGTCCTCAGGAACCTTGTTAATTACTGGTCCTGTGGAGAGCGGGGTCTAAAAAGCAGACTTGTAAGTATCCAGAAACATGAGGAATGTTCTAGCTTTCAGGAAGTTCTCCCAATTGATAGGTGTAGCTCTTTAAGAATGTTGACATGGGGGATGGAGTTGTGGCTCAGTGGTAAAGTGTTCACCTAGCATGATGCATCAGGCACTGGATTCGATCCTGAGAACCAAAATGTAAAATAAAGATATTTTGTGTCCACCTAAAAATTAAAAATTTTTTTAGGGGCTGGGGTTGTGGCTCAGTGGCAGAGTGCTTGCCTAGCATGTGTGAGGCACTGGGTCCGATTCTCAGCACCGCGTATCAATAAATAAAATATAGGTCCATTGACAACTAAAAAAATATTTGAAAAAATTTTTTTTAAAAAAAGAATGTTGACATGAAGGGAAACATAGAGAAATAGGGCAAATTTCCAGGTAATTAAAACCCAAAGTGCTTGCAGGCAGCAGAGGAAATAGGGGAAAAAAAATTTAGGAAAGGTCACACAGAGCATTCCATGGGCACAAGTAAATAGCTCACCAGGAAGTCATAGCTACTGGAAAGAACCCTGTCCAAGTCAGCTGGTCTCCCTCCTCAGGTGCTCCAAGATGTGGTTGAAAGAGGATGAGCACAGTTAGCTATGAATGGCACAAGGGTAACCTGCAAAAGCCTGGTAAGAACATTTATCTGGAAAGGAAAAGTCACTAGCATTGTCAAGAAAGAGTTGCAAAGATATAAAGAATATCTCATAGTTCCTTTTGGTCATTGTTTTATTTCTTTAGGAATTTAGCCCTTTAATCGGAGTTCATTTTTATGAATTCACCCTCAGCAT